GGGGGGTGCGGGGAAGAGACTATTTCTCTTTTTTCAGTCCCTTAAAGCTCTTGACTCCCCATACTCAAAAAAGCGCTGAACACAGCTGATCAAAAAAAGTTTTTGTTCTTGGAAAATTCTAATAGTCTTATAACAGTTTTACTTTCGAATCAACATGGGACATCAAAATGTATTACTTCTGCAAAACAAGGAATTCCATAAAAATATATTTTTAATAAAACAGGAAATTTCAAGATTTGTAATTGAGGAAGATTGTTTCAGCATTTCTAAATCATACACTTCAATTTAGCTAGAAATCAAAACAAATATTTTGGATGAACTAGGTCTTTGTAGATCAGTGTATTGACTTAAATTAACAGTGCTTGACACAAGCTGTAGTTCCAGGTCATTTTTGCCCTTCTTTCACCTCAAGTTCAGCTCCTATGCAGGTAAGCACTCAACTGCACAGAGAGGCTGCAGTAATTTATAGGAAATATTACTGTGCAATGGAGCAAACGCAAGAGATGGATACTGGGGCATGGGTCATCCAGATCTACAGCTCCTACAAGGTAATACAGCAGTTTTGGCACAGACACTTCGGCAGTTCAAACCTTATCTGTAATAAGGGTGTCCCTTTGATGGATTAAAATTAAAAACTCCAGTGTAGTTTGATAAAACACATATTTTCATTTTCTTCAATAGAAAATTCTTGTCAAATCTAACTTTTCCTATGGAAAATTAAATTATCCCACCTATTTCACTTTGTGTAAAATTGGTGTTCACAACTGAAACAATTTAGTCATGGACATTTTTACATGCAGAACTGTAAGAGACAGAATTATTTCTGAGTATTTTCTGAGCTCTCTTTAAGAAAGAGAGAAAAAAATGGTAGAGAAGAAAGAAATTTTAGTTTTGGAGATTGACTTCAGAAGCGAAAGTCATGCACATTGACAACATCCTTAAGTTTGCAGAATACTTACTGAAAAACATTCTGAAAACCATCTTAGTTTTTTTCCTCGAGGATTTCCTGTCAATTTTTCCACTTCTTGTTTAATATCCCTGGAAACTTTACCACACAGCAAAGGAGGAGCACCAGATTCCACAGCACGATCTAACACACACACAAAGATTTATACGTGAAAATTAAAAAAAACAAGAAAAAAGAAAAAAAAAAGTATAGTAACATACAGAAAATTAAAACAACGGTATATACAATTTACTTACCTGTATTACCGATAATCTCATCCCAACATCTATCTGCTAAGATATTTATTTGTAGAGGGTTTATAAGAGGTGTCAATGACCAGAGTCTCACAGTGGAGTCACGAGAGCAAGATGCCATTGTAAATGGACGACTAGGATGACATGTTAATCCTAGAAGAGAGGACATTTAAAAACGTAGTCAAATAATTAATTTTATCTAATAATCAGTTTGATTAAGTTATTTTATAAATTTTAAAATATTTTATAATGCATTTCAATACATAAATAAAACAAAATTTTAAAATATTACCATATACATCTGCACCATGATCATAAACTGTGTCCAAACATACTCCATCTCTTGTGTCCCAGACTCGAATTGTATAGTCCCAACTGCCAGATATTAGAAGGTAAGGAATTTCAGGATTCCACATCAGTCCCCGTACTGGAGCTGTATGTCCACTAAGAACATTTATACAAGCATCCTGTGTATAGTCCCATATTCGAACAGTACTGAAACAGGATAAAAAAGACCTAGGGCATCAAATCACCTACTGAAATATGATTATCTCTCTAATTCAGCAATATTCTAAGCTTCAAATTTATCAGAATATTTATTTTAAATATATTTATAGAAGTTGTATTAGGAGGGGTTGGAGCCAATGCCCTTCATGTTTAGGATGGGGTACAAAATACATCAAAGACAATTCACCAGAATAAGAAACTATTCCATCCACTGCATAGTCTTTCAAAATCTCACATGCACCATTATCTTACATGCGAGTGAGAGAAAAGAAGTTTGCTCATATTCCTGCATGTATAACAAATTTGTCTGTTAGGACTCTTAAGGGGGAAAAAGAGAAAGAAAAACAAAGCAAAACTGTAAGATCTATCTTCCCTATGGTTATAACAGGCCTCTAACAGACACAGGAAACTACAGATCTGTTAGTCTAACCTCAGTTCCTGGAAAAATTATGGAGAAGATCATACTGGGTACTACTGAAAGGCATTTAAAGAGTAATGCAATCATCAGGCACAGTCAACATAGGTTCACAAAGGGAAAGTCCTGTTTAACTAATTTGATACCCTTCTATGATAAAGTTGCCCGCCTAGTGGATGAAGGGAAGGTGGTAGATGTAGTTTTTCTGGATTTTAGTAAGGCTTCTGATACTGTCTCTCACAGCATCCTTCTGGACAAGTTCTCCAACTGTGACATGAGCAGGTTCACTGTGCGCCGGGTGAAGAACTAGCTGAACGGCAGGGCTCAAAGGGTTGTAGTGAATGGAGCTACATCTGGCTGGCAACCTGTCTCCAGCGGTGTTTCTCATGTTCAATTCTACAGTCAGTTCTGTTCAATATATTTATCAATGACCTAGATGCAGGAATTGAATGTGTTACTAGCAATTTGGTGATGACACCAAACTGAATGTCTCACATTTTATTTTGAGAGATACTAAAGTTACCATTCAGTTAACAGCTTTAGATTGGAGCGTTGGGCAACCATCAATGGCATGAAATATGAGAAGAACAAATGCCAGATTCTGCACCTGGGACAGAGTAACGCTGGGCACAAGTATAAATGGGGAGAGGGAAAGACCCTGCAGAAAGGGATCTGGGGGTGCTGCTCGACAGCAGGCTCAGTGTGAGTCAGCAGCGTGCCCTGGCAGCCAAGGGGGCAAAACGCATCCTGGGGTGCATCAAACACAGTATAACCAGCCAGTCAAGGGAGGTGATTATCCCCTGTAATCAGCCTTGGTGCGGCCTCACCTTGAGTACTGGGTGCAGTTCTGGGCCCCACAATTCAAGAAGGATGTGAAGGTCCTTGAATGCATTCAGAGGAGGGCAACAGAGCTGGTGAAAGGGCTGGAAGGCATGTCCTATGAGGAGTGGCTGAGGACTTTGGGTTTGTCTAGTTTGGAGAAAAGGAGGCTGAGGGGCGACCTCATTGCTCTCTACAGCTTCCTGAGGAGGGGAAGTGGAGGGGGAGGTACTGATCTCTTCTCCCTGGGATCCAGTGATAGGACGCATGTGAATCGTTCAAAGCTGTGCAAGGGGAGGTTTAGACTGGACATTAGGAAGCACTTCTTTACCAAGAGGGTGGCCAAACACTGGAACAGGCTTCCTTGCGAGGTGATCGATGCCCCAAGCCTGTCAGTGTTTAAGAGGCATTTGGACAATGCCCTTAATAACATGCTTTAACTTTTGGTCAGCCCTGAATTGGTCAGGCAGTTGGACTAGATGATCATTGTAGGTCCCTTCAACTGAAATATTCTAGTCTAGTCTATTATCTTCTCTTCTTTGAGCATGGCATTTGTCACATGGCAGAAGTGGACACCACACTATCTTAAACTGTGAAACTCACACCACAATTACACAAGTAATGAGGAAGAATTCATACCAGGTCTCTCGCTGTTTTTTTTCTTCCCTTTTAACCAAGTAAGTTTCCAACATCTCCTTTTATTTTCAGTAGTTGCTATCGCTGGCTACAGCTAATTGAACAGACTACAGAATTAGGAAGCTAAAAGTTCAGTTTCTTGAAAAGATCATTGTAATTCTGGCTAAATTTCATTACATTATCAAATATGTTACCAAAGCTCACTCATGGCAGCAAAGGCACCTATTACAGTTTCTCCAGTGCTGCCAAGGGCATTTGATGGGCCTTGCATCACAAAGTAGAATCCACAAGTTAGAAGAACATTTTATATATTTACATATATATTATCCTCAGCTCATGTGTGACTCTTGCATACTGTTCCTATGTACTGTATAAGCCTAGGTGCTAAACAGGTCATCTGAAATAGTTCCAAGTTTAACTATGAACAGGAGTGTTACCAAGTACAATAAACTCAAAAGACTGCTTAATTTCTGTGTTACTTGGACTAAGTTATTCAACGATTCCCTTCCCTCAAAGTGGAAGTGTAACTGTATTCTGAAAATCCCTCTGTAATTAAGACTTATTACATAGCCATGATTGGTAATAAAATCAGAATATCTCATAATGACACTATAACAGAATTTTGGATTCACTACTTCTTGCTCATGTGAAATAGAGAGGATTTACACCTAAAAAGTTTGTTGTCAAGTTGGTTTCTTTCATGAATCATTGCACTATGAACTAACAGATTTTGCTGCAAGCATAGACATCTAATGAATGATATTGGGGAAAGCAATAAAAGCCAATACTCCAAACCTGTGATCCTTTACAGAAATGTTTTGTATACTCTACAGGGAAGTGGCTTAGAATCATAGAAAAATCTTTCCTCCTGCTTACCATAGACTTATGCGCTCTCCCTCAAAAAAAATCATCAAAACCAACAAAACAGATTCTCCACAGATTGTACTTAAAAGTCTCCACAGATTCTACTTATTTGATGCCTTTCTAAAGCATAATTAAGAGCAGATCTTGCACCCATATCTTTAGACATAGTGTAAGCATGTGGTATCCTCCTTGTATCATTCCTGGGAGTAAAAGGTATCAGTCACTGACTCTACTCTTGGGAAAGTATTTGGAAAGTTGCATTGCTACAGCAGCTGTGACAATTTTAGATAATTATCTTGCTAACAGCAAGGCTACAGCCTGAATGTGAACAAGGCAGAGATTTAGATTATTATATTATTCACAGAGTTTTTGAAGGTGCCAGCACGAGTACAACTAAAGATGTTAAGTTTCTCTAATAGTCCTGCTTGAGGTTTTAAGTTTTCTAATAGTTCAGAAATACACACCCATCATCAGAGCCACTGCAGAGGATTCCTTCTCTCAGAGGAGACCACCGTACATGAAACACCTTTGCAGTATGCCCTGTAAAAACTTTCAGTGGCTGATCAGAGCTGGTTGCCAAGTAGTAAACACGAACATTTTTATCCTCACAACCAGTAGCTATCATATCTCTGCAAAATAAAAATAGTAAAATCCTCAGTGACTGGGACCATCAAAAGTACTTTTTTAACTTAAAAATAAATACGATGCATATTTTGCAATTTACTTTAAAAAATAGCTTATTTTTGCTTCTCCTTTGTCTCTTTAGGATGTAATTATTGATAACCTAATTAAGTATACTAAATCAGAAAAAAAACTGATAAAGATCCATTAGTTGCAACAGGGAATGGTATTTGCAATACAGTCTGACCAAGCACCCAAGACACAACTATTAATAGACTGAATTACTGTATAATTGTTTTTTGACAAAAAGTTCTCATGTTGTTTTAGGAATTATCTGCAAAATTAATATATATCACAGTCTATTTAGTTGCCTGCTACATCTTCAGCTTAGCAGTCATTAAAAGGAAGCCAATCTAAACCCCCTTTTCCTGGTATTGAATGTCTGCTTTTTTTTCCCCCCCATTATATATTCAGCCAGAGAATTTTTTTTCCTCCTATCAATACGAAAAGATCCTCCTTTGAAAGTTAAGTAGTCCTTGTCCTACTCAACACATTAACATGCTGGGCAATGAAATACACTACTGGGAATATAGAGCTGCTACAGACATATTGTACTGTGGAACAGAATCAATTTCAGTGCTCTAATATCACAGTAAATATCACATTCTAAATAACCTTGTGTTATTTTATTGGTAATCAATTTAAATAGTAAATATTATTAATTCTTTGGGTTAATTTTTACTTACTTGTTGTTTTGACTCCAATCACAGCCAAACACTGCAGCTGGATGTTTGTACTTGTGAAGAACCTTGCCATCGATGGTTCGAATAATACTGAAACCAATTACAATGTAATATTATGAGAAATAAAGCATTCTGAATAGGCTATCCAAAAGTCAAGTTTGATTCTGTGCAAATAAGCCAGATAGCAAAAAAATTATACACAAAGAATATGAGAAATCTTTATTCCTACAGCCCCTCAATTATAAGGCTAACTATATATTTCCCAACAAAACATTTAATTGGACTTCAGAGTCCATGTTCCTTCAGAGGGGCTGTAAAGATGTCCACTGTGGTACCTCTCTCCCTGAAAGGATCCTAACAGCCCAAAATCTAAGTAGTAGCTATGGCTTTAAGGTACAAGTAGATCTTCAGGGATTTAAAAAAAAAAAAAAATTGATTGATTATTTTCTAAAATTCATGCTCTTGTTATGTTTGAGCTGAAATAACATGGGTAGCAAAGGAAAAGAATGAACAAGGATTGAAAATTATACTGAAATACAATACATGCAAAATTGTTCTCAATGGGCATTTGCAAGTTTTTACAAATAAACTATTATACTCCTGTAATAGTACAACTGCAATTACTTTGTGCTAAAATAGTGATTTCTAGTCCTTGAAATAACAAACAAAGTTCTAAAAATGAAGACAAGTAAAGTGGGATAGCTTTTGAAAAGTGTCCTCAATATCCACAGACAAGAAACCTAGAATAATATTCTTGGCTAAATAAAAATCAATATTGAGTTTCACTATCAGAGTGTCTTAGACACTCTTCCTTTTACAAAATTTCCTTTATTTTTTTCTTAAAATCATGAAAAATATATCCTAAAAAGTACAGGGGATTAATATAATCCAAGTTTTGGCCAGTGAGAACAGTTTTAAAATTAATCACTGGTAGTACTGTCAAAGTTTACTGTTGAGAAGTGCATTTAGCAATTTTTTTTTCTTCCAATAACACTCACCAAAATCCATCACTGCTGCAGGTTGCTATTCTTTTGGAATCTTTATGACTCCAGGCAATGCAGAAGATTCCATTCTTTCCATGCTTCAAAAAATGCAAAATACCTATCAATAAGAAATAATTCACCCCTTTTTCTCTCATCTATTGACTCATCTTTTTTATTTTATTCTCCTATGGGCTTCAGCCCTTTTCTCCCAGCAAAGTATACTGTACAAAAACACATTATAATGAGTCCCCAATATAGCTGAGATATTTGAGAATCCAAGTCTAAAAAATTGGGACTGAGGAGAGAGACAGTAAAACTGCCATACTCTCCAGGATCCAAGAGACAAAACTGGATCAAGTTGAAGAATGAGCAACCCATAACTATATGGACCTGAAGCTTGAATAAAGGTTAGCTATTTGTTGGAATAATGAAGTTAGTGGGCATGAATAATTGTGGTACATGAAAACTTAAGTGGGACATGCATCAAGACAAGTGTTTGAGAAAAGATGTTTATTAGTACAAGTGCAAATCTTCTGAGTGCTAGAACTCAGGAACTCCTGAATGTATGTATGTATGTATACTTGTTTTCTGCCCACCCCCATCTCTGTCTTCTTAAAGAGCATCCTTTGTCCTCTGATTCAGATGCCACAGTTATTACGTCTGTATAATCTGAAGATTACAGCTATACACTAAGAATACACAAAATAGTATAGAATACTACAATACAGTATTAAATAGCCCCTTCTGCCAATAACAATTATGCTACTGTTTCAGGACTGGCAAATGCCTGCATAGATTTCAGGTAATACAAGGCAAGATTCTAAATAAGGCATACTGTTTACTGGTCTAGACTTTATGAACTGAATTTTTTTTTCTGGGCCTTATGTCTGAAAATACAGAATATCATTTTACATTTTGATACCCATTTTGAAGTCTATATGTCTATATACATTTACATAATTAAGAAAGAATCAGCTATGCTTTTGCTGTGTATCATTTCAGGACCGATCTTAAGATAATGGAGACCATCTGCTGCTTCATCATTCTCATGTCACTAACCTAGTCTGAGGAAGTAAAAATACTTCTGCCTCAGAGATAAACCAGCACCCACATAATTCTTTCTATAGATTTTTATATTATAGCACCTTTTAAAAACATATGAACTTTGACCCATCTTTATTTATTGACGCTAGAGGGAATGACTAACTTACATTTAATATAGACGAAAAAAAGATGTAATCTCATCTTACCTCACTGAATCTAGTTATCATTTTGCCTTTTGGGACATCCCAGATGAAGCCACCATTTCTGGATGTGGCACCTGCTATGCAGTTCAGATCTCCTTTACAGAAAGATATTTGTAAGATCTCACAATAAATACAAGATCACAATACTGTTTGACTAATATGTTTCAACTTTAAATTCAATAAATGTAATATAAACAGAAGACATCAATGGCACGTAAACAAGAGTTTTTCATAGTTTAATACCAGCATTTGATACTAAGTCACAAATATCAATTTCAACAAAAGCCTGACCTGCTTTTCTACATTCCTATTTTGAGGAAAGGGCAAAATAAAAATTGTATTGTTGCAAAAAGTATGCTCAATGCCTGCTGAAAGTCTTGCAGTTAAGGTGACAAGAAAATAATGTCCGTGATGCATATGACTCAAACTGAAAAAGAGATACAATCTAAATGTTTCAACCTTAAAGTTGTAGCAACTAAAGCATTTTCTTTTAAAGTTCCCTAAATACTAAGACAAATCAGGAAGAATGCGACAGAACATGTAACAGTACTTTGTTTTCTTAATCTTGTGCCACTGCAGCACCTAAGCCCATCAAGAATGTACTTGAATCTGTAACCAAACTCTACAGGGTGGAAAATCTGAATATATGATTTCATTCCAAGTGAGAACCTGAAAACTGAATTCAGGCCTAAACCAAAAGCCACCAAATTCTCCTCACCACAGTGACCCTCTACCCGAATATAGCTATACTTTTCCCAAATAGCTATATGGCACTTTATATATAAGTTTTGACTGTTATTTTATATCACACTTCAGAGGCGGAAAAGGCAGTCTATGCAGGAGGAGTCTAGAAAGGTACGTATATAAGATGGAAAGAGATTCAGGTAGGAGAATGATAGAAAAAAAAAAAGGGAAAAAAAAAGAGTAATCACTATGTTCAAAGGTCTTTTGAGACCAAATACAAATGGTGGCATGCATTGGATTATATATTAAGAATGAAGATAAATGATAGTACAAGGTGGAGAGGAACTCTCTAGGAGTAAGGGATGTGAAAGAAGCAGGAAAAGTTCTGTCTGGGATGGACAGGAACTTTTGGACAGGATGGTGAGGAACTGAGGTTGAACTACAAGCTTCCAATTAGCTTAAATTCACTTTTAAAAAAAAAAAATTCCGAATACAAGACTTGAAAAGCACCCCCCCAGTGAACAAACTGTTCTCTCAATGTGAGATACTACTACAAACTGAATTTAAATTTCAAAACAAAATAACACAAAAGAAAACACCATATTTCATATTGCCATAATTTCCATATAGCAAGACAAACTGTGAAGAGGAACAAGGTGCAAGAGACTCTCCAAAATGAAAAAAGTGCAAATTCATTTCACATATACAAACTATATTAAGTTTCCCATCATGGTATTTTTTCCTGCCAACTATTATTTCTTAAAGTTTAAAAGCATAGGAGAGAAAAGCAGGCAGTGAGCTGAATTATTTAGACTTTTTAAATAACGCATCTGCTGTCCAAAGAATTAAAACACAACAAGAAGGCCTACCTATCATCGACTATTGACATTAGTAAGTATCAGAAAAGTACTCCCAAGTTCACCTAAGTGGGTTGCAGAAAGTTTTAAGAAGAAAATTTCCGACTGACTTCAGTCACTTCTCTAAGAAAAAGTAGATGCTTTGCAGAAAAGATATTCCCTATTCTAATAAAGTAAAAGCAGAGCTTTTCAGTGATTAGAATCCTACATAAAGAAGGAGGAGAAAGAACTAAACACTTAAGTTCCACTTTTCCAGCACAAAATAGAATCTGAATTCCTTTAATCAGCTGCTTCCCATTCAAAGAAAGCCTTTTCATCATCTGCATAATGTAATGCTAGAAAGGCTCTGGAAATTTTCCTCCCTCCATTCTGACTCAGTACGAAATACTGAGATCATTCCTCACAAGGGTAAGCCTCAACAAGGTCTGAAGCATTGAATTCTACAGGTTTCACAGATAATAGTTCAGTTATAAGATACCCTTCTATCTAAACCTAATACTTTTACAACACAGATTGCTGCTAGTCAATGCTAATTCAAAGAACATTTAGACCTAAAGCAAAATATTCTTACCTGGAGCCCAAGAAAGGGAATAAATAACCCCCTCATTACCAGGAGATGTGTAAACCGCTGTTAAAGTATTTATGTCCCAAACTTTTATTGTGCCATCAAATGAAGCTGTAGCAAGAAGATCAGGGTTATCAGGTTTGAATTTGCAATCAAAGATGGTCTCAACATGTCCCTTAAATGAAACAAATATTTAATCCATTTTTATTACATTTGATTTTTTTCAGAAGTCCAACTCTAGATCAAACTCTAAAATACATTATATTATAACCTGTCAGATCAACTATGAGTTCCAAAAGAACTGGCTTATCAGTCAAAATTAAAAGGCATAAAATAGCTTGGACCATAACATTCCTCCTTTTCATAGATCGTTATTAAAGACAGAAAAATTTTGCCCTGAAACAGGGTGATGCAATGCTACGGACTTGTTAGCATTTTCCATTGGAACTGAGTTGCTAAAAAACAGAATTGAAAAAAGTTAAGCTAAAAAAAAAAACAACCAAGAAAAATTAATTTTTTAAAACAGAAATAATTTTGCTCTTTAGGTAAAAAGTATCTGACTGAAAAAATAAAGCTTTTTATGTTGATCATGTTCTACAAGTTTTCTAGTATTCCACTGAGTTTTCTATGTCCTAAATACAGTCTATGTTCTCTTGCAGTATAAACTTCAATCCATTAGAAATTTCATGTCAATTGCTTGTTTTCTAAGACATGCATTTGTAGAATTTAACTTGACACATACATGAGAAACAGATAATATGTAAGAACTTTTTTAAGCCTCAATTGCTTTACAGGACCAAAACCATTAAAAATGGAAAGAGAACACCAACCAGCAGCCTCTATTCAAACATGTGTGGGAATACAACTGAAAATTAGTCAAGTTTTTCAAAGAAAGGGGAACGGGAAAAGAGGAAAAGAGAAAAATCCTCAAGAATAACCAAAAGCCCAGTGAAGGAGAGGCTCACCTAATACGTGATAAACCCAGTTTTGAAATTCTGCTTCAAAGAAGATTTAATAATTCGGTCTTTGTCATCTTAAACTGAGTGACCTCACCATCCGAGTTGCATATATTTTCTCTCTGATTTGACTGGAACTTTTATTCTGGATTATAAAAAACCCTCCACATAATATTTCTGAGAAGGCCATCAAATTAAAATTTCAGTTAAAAAAACCTCAAGCCCTTAAATCTTTATTTCTGGATGAAAACTGCCAGAATACTTCCAACGAGATTCAGCCTTTTGCAATAAAGAATTACTTTCAACTTGAGAACTGTAATTTTGTTTCCTAGAAATTTGACTCTTTTTAATGATAGAAACTGTTTTACAGTGCTGCAAAGACTTCATTCTCCGTTTTTTGCTGTTAGAAGAAAGTGTATAAGCCAAATAAACACTCATTCCAAAGATGAAACGTACCAAATCTCTAAGGAAATCCCACTTTTTGGCTCCCATGTCATAAAGCCCCACTCCACCATCCATGAAGCAACAGACAGCATGACCAGGAGGAAGAGAAAATGCTTGGTTTTGGGTAAAAGTTGGAGGAGGAACAGCCTCACTTGTTGATGATGTATGGTGATTTTTAGTAGGATACTGTGATGAACATGCTTAACAAAATAAAGCAAAAGATATAAACAGATAAGATTAATTTTAATTTTTTCATTTAATAATCAACAATTATAAAGAGTAAAATGCTTTGTATTCCAATGAGATTAAAAAAAAAAGAAATGGAGAATTCCTGTATGAGGCCTGGCCCACTACTTATAAAGTGTTTGATGCTTTACACGTTTGTCTAGTCCACTGGCACCGGAGGGTACTTTATTTAATTAAAGAACTACAGAGCCAACACGAACTTACAGAGATCGACTCAGATATAAGATTCACAAACAAGATTTTCTTAACTTGCAGCCATTGCAATGAATAACAATAAGGATTACACTTACACTTTTTCTTTGGAGGAGAACTTAGCACATGTAAACCATGGAAACCAGTTTTCTTCAATTTAAAATTATCTATAGGTGTTGTTCGTGAAACATTCCAAATACGTAACACACCAACTTGAGAATCTGAGGTTTTAAAAAAATAAAAAAACCAACATACAAAAACTTTTTTTTTTAATTTATTATTTTCTTTTTCTGTACACAGAGGTATGAGGTTAAGGACTGATTTAAGCAAAAATACAACTATGAACTAAACTTAGAATCCAAAGAAGAATTTTATAAGCAGGCACTGCCATTGCCATGGTAATATCACTGTTAACAACAATAATTATTAGCATTAGTTATTTAAACTTCAGTAAATAAACCCTATGGAACCTCTCTAGTTATAAAATATTCTCACAGTCTCACTTTCCTTATTCATTAGTTCTTCAACCTGAGCACTAACGTCTATAGTGTAGAAAAGAGGCAGGAAATAATTTTTTTTTTTTTTAAATCCTTCTAAAAATAGAGAAAGAAAAGCAGGGGAGCAAGAAGTGACATCCACTAGTACAACGCATTTTTATTCATATTCCCAAAGTAACTCTCATATTTGTTGCTAAAGTGTGCATGAGGAAAACACTATTTAGTATAAAAAAAAGTCTAAAGTCACTTGTTTATGTACCCAGAAAATATAAAATAAGTAAAAACTGCTCAGTGTAGTTTTCTCTTTTCTACAGTTTTATGCATTTTTTTTGTAGAATGCATGTATACTTTTATTTGTAGAAATGTTAAGAAACAGAAAGATCAAACTTGAAGTATCAATTTTGAAGACTCAGTCCTATATTTATTACCTTTGTATAAATCAGAAAAAAAAGGGCTTACCTCCAGTTATAAACATTCCAGGTGCACTAGAAACCCAGGCTAAACACTGAACAGATGCTGCTGCACTGGGAAAATTAAAAGTTGTGATACAGGACAGAGATTCAGAATCAACTAGTCGAATACCATTATGTAAATTAGCAACAAGAAGGTAGTCAGTTGACAAAGGGTCCCACTCCAGTGCTGTAACTGGATCCTCTTCATCTGTTCCTTCAAGAGACTCTGGTCTTAAGACATGTTTCTGATTTTTAGAACCTTTAAGAGCACAAGAAAACAGATTATTTCAAAATGAAACCAAGTCTATCCTTTCAATAGTTACAAGGTTTGCAAACATAATCTTTGTATCTCCCATGTTTGCAAACATAATTTTTGTCTTCACTCTGCACCAGTGAAATTAATGAAGCTGGCTTTGCAATATTTGACTTAAAGATCCAACTTTCTTTTTAATACAGCAGAAAATAGAAACAGCCGTCAGGTTTATTAACATAATTTTATACTAAAGAAAAGTATGTTAAATCATATACATTGTCCTAACAATTTCCATAAGTAAAGGCTTGCAGCACAAAGGCCTGTGACTCATACTTAAATAGAAAGACTAGAGCCTTCAATAAGTCAATCACACTGAACTTTCAAGCAATTAACAGGAACTTGTGGATGTTCAGGTTCTCTCATGATAGTGTTTTGTAGGATATCCTACAAAAGGACTGAAACCTTTAAAAGTAAGGAATAGGAATTTTTTTTTTTTTTTTTTTAATTGATTTCACTTGGTAACAAACTAAGTTCTGGTTCAATAACCAGTCATTTTACACATTCTGACATGAGGTAGATGAAGGCTGAACTTTGATCTCAGAGCAAAAAATTAGCTTTCTATTCCTTATTGAAAAGTACCAATTCTTTGTGTCCCTTCCCCCCCCCCCCTTTTTTTTTTAAGAGGGCCTATATTCATCCTACTGATACCACTTTCTTCTATGTAGTGTTATTTTTTAAAAGCTACCAATTACAAAAGTCAGATGAATTTTGAGTATAAATTGCAAAATAGAAACCTGCAGTTGATAAAATAGATAACTTGGATAAGCCTACATTTTCAATTATATCTGAATGTTAAGACACTTCTTAAAAAGTAATTTATGAAAGTGTAACTACAGTAATGGTACGTACATTTTGTTATAACGATACATTCTATTTTTCAATATTACCTAATTTTGAAACATATTTTAATGAATTTATCTGTTCACCAAAATTTTTGTGATCTATTCTTAAACACATCTGTGTTTTTATCTAAATAAATTATTTGTCTTTTTCTAATAGTGTAAAGAAAGCAAGTTAAAAGAAAACCAATACGGGTCTCCGTTCTTTCAAAGTCATTATGATTGCTCCAATGTAATTGTCTTAATTACAAGAATATAATCCTTTGAATTAAAATATTCAAATTTCTTATTGCATGCAAGTCTGGGCTTTGAATGGCAGCTCTATGGTATTTCAATTAGTGGTTGTTCTTCCTGAATGCGTCTGAATTTGTTGCACTAATTTATCCCACATAGTAAAATTTGCTACTCAGTTCTGACAATTAATTTAAAGTATTATTTTAAAGTAGACCTCTGCAGATCAGTGATGTTTTTGTTACATAAAATCAAATAAAAATCCTATTTGACTAAAAAGTTTTTACATCCATCTCATTAAAAGAAGTGTGTTCAGGTTTAAAAAACACTTAAAATGATCCAACAGAAAGTGTACTACTTTTCTTCAATAATTTTGAGAGAGTGAAATTCTAAACAGTTTAAAAGCAAAAACCTGAAAAGTTCATTTTTAAAAGCCAAAGTGAAACATTTTCCTTCCAATTCTGAAGAATTTATTAAGGAGAAGTAAACTGCACTACTTAAATCTAGGATTTTCAGTGAAAGAGTTCTGACAAAAATTTTCACCCAATTGTGTATAAACCTTCAACTTCTCTTATTTCTCTGTTGGAAACCAAGAATCTTATACATGTTCAGAACAAATTTTATGGTTAACTTAATTTAATTTTTAAATGATCTTAATGTATACGTATCATGTACAATGCTACAATAATAATGAAAACTATCCCAAATACAAAGAAAGGCAAAATTTCTGTAATAATCTAAACTCAATTTCAAGCTGATGCAAGTAGGTTTTTCCCCAGTAGTAATGGATAATGGTAGTAGTGGATGCGGGAAAGGCTGTGGATGTGGTCTACCTGGACTTCAGTAAAGCCTTTGACACTGTCTCCCACAGCATTCTCCTAGAGAAGCTGGCGGCTCACGGTTTAGACAGGTACACTCTTTGCTGGGTAAAAAACTGGCTGGACGGCCGAGCCCAGAGAGTTGTGGTGAACAGAGTTAAATCCAGTTGGCGGCCGGTCATGAGCGGTGTTCCCCAGGGCTCAGTTTTGGGGCCGGTCTTGTTCAATATCTTTATCAACGATCTGGATGAGGGGATCGAGTGCTCCCTCAGTACGTTTGCAGACGACACTAAGTTGGGCGGCAGTGTTGATCTGCTCGAGGGTAGGAAGGCTCTACCGAGGGACCTGGACAGGCTGGATCGATGGGCTGAGATTCAACAAGGCCAAGTATCGGGTCCTGCACTT